ATTTAATATTATCATTTTGTTCTTTATAAAAAATTATACATTATTTTAATTAATTAAAAATGTATAGGATGTTAAAACTGATTTAAAATAATCTAAATACGACAAAAAGACGAATTAAAGATATTTTAAATAAACTTTTTACTTATTTTGTTTTTAACATTTTAAAGCTTTGGGGGTAGATTTCATGCTGTAGAAATTAATAATTTCTGCTAAATTGACGAGTATTGAAAAGAGGTTTCTTTAAATTTTCTTAAAAAAAAAAACCGTGTAGTGCATTAAAGTAGTGAGTTATTGCAGCTGCAGTTTTTGTTTTTACAACAATGCAGGCTTTCAGCGCCGAGGTATCCATTTAATTCAATTTAAAAGCATTACACCAGTGTTTTATCTTAATGCGAATACATTTTGCGATGCTGTCGTCAATATGTCTGCCCAATATGACAATAGAACCGGAAAGTTACATTTCCAGCAGTAGACTTGGGGTTTATGAAGATTATAAATGAATATAAATTTCTGTTTTTTTTTTAAATAGTTAAAACCTTATCTTCCATATTGAATATGGTTTGTTATTTTCAGAAACTTTTAATTTGAAATTTTTCTTTGTGTAATTTTCTTCTTACGAAGAACCACTAGTTTTATTCTTTTACTTTTTGCGTGTGCGTCTATTTCGTCACAGATAAATCAATTATTGACACGGTAGTGTACTCGGAACCAGTTAAATCTTGTTCGTATAGTTTCATTATAGTCAACTCCTCACATTATATTATCTTTACTAACGCCACACCTTGCGCGCCCAATTTTAGGCGGTACCTAAGTAATCAAGTCCACGGTCGTCTAGCCCACTCGTATAATCATATTTTTCTACGATACGTATCTAACTCATGGGAGTGGTCAAGTTAGATGTCAAGAATAGGTTTTAATATGAGAATTATAAATTATGGTCGGAATGTTTTAGTTAACATTTTTCCGTTAATGTAATTGCGGTTATTAAGTATTTGTATTAAGCAAAGCAAATGCTGAAATAGCAAAATAGGAAAAAGCATTTTAAAGAGCCCTGTAGTGTGTTGGCGGCGTATGAATCAATTTTCCAATTTTGCACTGTGTCTGGCTTTTTTTTTATAAAATAGAAGGCAAACCAATGTACGACCATTACCGGATTAAGCCATAGGCATTAGACATGTGTCATTCATTTATTTATAATGACCCGATCATTCACACGTATTGATTCGTCTTACGAATCGGGTCGTTTCGAGTTTCAAGCAGTTCATACCGATAAAAGTGGTAATAATTATCTCGTTTACGCCAGGCATAAAATATCCGGACCAGCGATGAGCAGTAATGTCAACGTGTACGAGATATTCGGTACAGTGTGCGTACCGCACACTGTACCAGATCTCTAGCAACAAATGATTCGCATGTCCAGTAATGGATTTGTATCGCCAATGAAATAAATAAACCGATATATTATAATACGTGAGATAGTTCACACGTGATATAGCCACGCTGCAGCTATATTATATGGTTGTAGCGCGAATGGGTCGGCTCGACCGGGGAAGGACCACGCTCTCACAGAATACCAGCGTAAAATAGCAGCCTAATACTGCTGTGTTTCGTATGGTGAGTGTAGAGATCCGGAGACCCTTTTTTACTGGAAACGAGGCATTTCATCTTAGTCCTCAGGGGTGACAACGCATCTGGGTTTTGATTCTTAATCGAAGATAAATGTAGATGTCTATGGGCCACAGCATCCACTTACTGGACTGTGTGCTCGTTTGTCACTCTTATTATATAAAATATATATACCGTGTGGTGTGTAAGAGAATCACTACTCTATACAACGACGGCTCGGATCCACTGGACAGTAGCTTAGCATTGGGTTGTGGTGCCCGGCCGCGGGTTCGAATCCCGCACGTATAAAATATTTGTATGGTCAGCAAAAGTACGAAAAGTCCACTACTGAACAATAGGCAGGCAATGTATGAGACATTGCCTCACAGGGGATATTTTGCAAAGTTGCCACGCTTGGCAGAATTTAGTGGCAACTGCAATTGCTTATTTTTCTTTTGAGTTTTGTCAGAAACGTCGTATTTTACGACACCCAAGGGTTGATATAGCTCGAAGAATCGATAACCGATGGGAAAAAACGTTCTCGATTGGCAGCCTCGTACCGGCAGGCGTAGTGTAGGGCGATCCCCCACTAGATGGAGTGACGACCTGATAAGACGTGCAGGAAGTCGATGGATTTAGGTGGCTCAGGACCGTGCTTTGTGGCATACCTTGGGGGAGGCCTATGTTCACCAGTGGACTTGTGAAGTGCTGTAATGATGATGATGATGAAGGGTTGATATGGGATAATGGTTTCTCTTACAATGCCAAAACACGGCAAACTATATGATTACGAAGCATTCGGTGGTAATAGCGTTTAACTTGTAATTAAGACTATGTATAAATAATAATGAGCAACAAAGCACTAGCTTCAAATTATTCTTAAAAATGTAATTTGCATGTAGTTTGCTAACGTCACAATGACGAATCGCTTATCCAAACGCGTATTAAATTGCAATGTACTATGAAGTCTTGTAGTAGGTACGAGGTTTATTTTTTTTTAAATAATGTTGAATAACCACTTTACATAGATTAAAAAACCGATCTCTTATAGAGAAAATCTACGCTCCACGCTCTTAATAGTGCTCAGCTTATAAAAATGGGTCACTGATTATTCATAGAAATGATCTCTCGAGTGCACTCGACGTTGCGATGTTTCAAAAATTCAAATTAAAGTAAAATGTATACACAATTTTGTGGCGCTTAAGTTGTTTTACAAAATAACTACCACGACTTATGTACTATTAAAATTAGTTTTTATATATGTATCATTCAATCACAAACATAAAACAAGGTTTTATATTATCAATTGTCAATTAATAATAAACATGCTTATCATAATACATATTACATATATTTTTTTTAAATCTTTACAATTTTGCGAGGATTCCTCCTATATATGTAATATATTGGGAACCATAACTAATACCATTACAGCTTAACAAAAGTCCATTCTGAACATAGGCCTCCCTCATACTTTGTCTCATAATAATGTCCTCCAGACAGAATTTCAGCCACGGCGGTCTGCCTCAACGGAGGCTAGCCATCGGGCAGAACAGGATTATAGTGCCCAAGTGTATGCGCAAGCACAGCTGCACTCTCTATTCCCTCACTCTCGTAATCCGATGAGACGGTAAACCGCCACGACCGGGAGAGAGATCAGGCGCAGGACCAACGGCTTTACGTGCTTTCCGAGGCACGGGGGTGGGACACCGCCACTTCCTGGCTCCGGGCAGCTACTGAGAATCTCTTGACAGAAAAACTCAATAATTGATTTTTGGCCCGACCCGGGATTCGAACCCAGGACCTCATGATCAGCAGTCGCACTACTACAACCACTAGACCAACGAGGCAGTCACTTTGTCTCATAGTTATTACATAGTAGCCACACTTAGCAGGCAGGCTGACAACCGCAGTTTTATATTTTTACTGCGTGCTGATGATTTGGTAATGTCACATACCGGAAATTCATAGTCATAATTTAAAGGCATTTTTAGTGCGGAAAGTGCTATTTGTTCGTCATCCATTAGTGTAGCTGCTATTCCCGATGATGTTAGAGCGAGTGCGATTTCTTTGTTTGCACGAATTATAGCTTGGATTAAATAATAAATTAAAAATGTCTTCCCAATACTAATAACTACTAATACTAATATAATACCACCTTATTGTTTTTTTTTTGTAATCATTAATATATCATACACCTGGTTTTGACTTTTAATTAATAGATTAAAATTATTTTGAGTCGATATTCAATAAATTTTAGAAATTTTCAGATTATTTAAAAAAAAGTTTAAAATGATGTAAAACATTTAGATCCAATACAATTATTTGCAAATATTTTGGAACATTTAAATATATTTTTTAATTTTTTAGAATGTTTCAGAAATTTTTGAAACCATTGAAACTTTCTAACGTTTCTAAAATTATTTTTAGATAATATTGAAAATTTAAATATATTTTAGAGCTTGTCTAATCAATCTAGAAATATTTAGAATATTCTATATCGATAGCAATTATTCTTAATTAATAATTTTCAGTGTTTGTATATATTATTATAGAATTTCTTAGATCATTTATGGAATTTTGAGAACAGTTTAGAACATTTTGGATCAACTACAATCACTCATTTTCATAGTTCCTTTTAAATATTGTAGTCCCTTTAAAAATATTCTAGAATATTCTGAAAAAACCTGAAATATTCTGGAATATCTGGAATATTCTAGAAAATTCTGAAAAATCTGAAACATTTTAGTAAAGTTCTCGATCTTATCACGCACAAACGTAATTTGTGTCAGTCTTCAGTCTTGAGCTTATATGAGTCGTGCAATGTGTTTGAAGTGGGTAGAAGTATCTCATTACACATTTTTGCCACCCACATCCACTCACAGCAACCAAACTTCCTTACTTGCAAGTGCACACGTGGGGCCTTCTACCACTCCTACCACAAGTGGGTGGTAGTGGGTGGCCATGGAGAAAAGGCTGGACATAGAGACGAACACTTTCCTTTTATAAATGTATATTGATAAAAAAGAAGTATAATGTATATATTACGTACGCAGTGCATATTACTCCAATAAATAAAAGAAACAAGATTTAGGAGCGTGTGACTTTAGGCAGGGGAGTTCTTTGGTGGAAAAACTTATCTATTTGAACTCACATATTTTTCCTGGCGTTATTTAGTAAAAGCAATTTTTAAAAGGTTGCTCTAGTATCGTGGAGGCGTTTGACATACATAAAGTTTCAGATAGTAATTATTATCCTCGTATTAAAAAAAAATACCAGCTAGCTGTTTTACTAGCTACCGATTTATTTATAGTATTTTTATTTTTTAAAGTATTTTTATTATACTTTTTAATGTTTTTAAGAAATATTTTCGAAGTATGTTTTTAATTTCACAGCTACGACATGAGTTAGAACGCGTGGTGAGCGAACGGGACCGTCTACTGACAGAGAGTTCGGAGTTGGGAGCAGATAAATCGACGCGCGAGGCTGAGCGCGCTGCTCTCCGCGCTGAGCTGAGGGAAGCGCGGCAGAGGGAGCAGCGGCTGCTCGTGGACATAGGGGACCTCGAAGACGAGAACATCTCGCTCCAGAAGCAGGTTTCTGCACTACGTTCCTCTCAGGTGAGCGAGCCTAAAAGAACCACGGAAAACGGTAAATAAATCGAAGAAATACTTCAGATCAGTATTTAAATATTGATATTATCTTAGTTGTTTATGTGATTATCTTACTGCGTTATATAGCTATAACAAATTCAACGAGACAGTGGAGTATATAAAGACTTGCCTCTTTAAACTTCATGCAAACACAAAGTATACTCTTATTGATTATAATATTTAAGTGTATTGGCGACAGCATATCTGGAACGCAAGAATAGTTTTATATTTATTAATTTAGTAGTCATTATTCAGTATTAGGTTAGGAAAACAACGAATAGTTGTAAGCACAGACATTTAAGTAGTAGTATTTAAATCTCTTTGGTTGTACGCCTTTTAGAAAATGGGACACTGTGCCAATCTATCTTTTAGTTTATTTGTATTAGTTTCTACTTACTTTTATAGGCATGATTCTTAACAATTAAATGAAACTAGTTTTTACGAATTCTATCGCGTACCTATATTACTTATTTTATATTTATATATTCCCGACGTTTAGAGTAATTTACAGTACCCATGAGCACGGGGGTACTGAGGAATATAAAATAAGATAATATATGCGATATAACCCGTAAAAATTAGTTTAATTCAAATGTGTAGCATTCGAACAAAATTTAAACAAAAGATCATTATGATTTTCAACAGCTATAAGTTATCTACAAGTAAAATAGAATAATTCTTATGGACCTGAAACTAGTCTTCTTATTTTACAATTAAATTTATCAGGTTGAATTCGAAGGATTAAAACATGAAGTCCGGCAATTACGAGAAGAAGCTGAAAACGCGCGGGCAGCTGCTGATGAGACGGCAGCGCTGCGGCGTATTGCAGAACGACAACTGGCCGAAGCGCTGGAAGCGCTGCAGGCCGAGAGGGAAGCCAAATTTGCCGCCAAGAAAGAACTGGACGCACACCTCAGCAGAGAAGCAGCTTACAACATTACTAACTTGGCGTACAGTATACGAGGTGGGTTTATTTTTTTAATAAAGATCATTATATATTATTTTCTTTATCAGCATAATAGCCCACTGCTGGACATGGGATGAACCTCCCACTGTAGCAGAATACATCTTAATTGCCACGCTTGACAGGCGGATTCGCGTGCCCTGTACCAGTTATGCAAGTTTTAGATACTCGCCAAGCACACACGAATAGGCACGAGTACGAACATGTTAACACCTTGTTACGAGTGTGCTCGCTACTCGACTCGAGTTTTCGCTTGTTCTCCACTCGATGTCGGTATTTTAGCACGAGTCAAAGGAATGTTCGTGTGTATTCGTGTTGGTGTTTACATATTCGCCATTATTCACTTGATCCATAAACTTTGTCGCAAATAGTTATTACTTTTTTTTATAAAATAATATAAAAAAATATAATATATATAGAATAGGTACTAAATAATAAAAATACCCATCTACTGTGATGGATTTTTTTTATAGAAGAGGGGTAAACGAGAATCGCATGTCGGTGGCTATAAAACTCCTGGTGAAACGTACAGTGGTGGACCGCCAAGCATCCAGATGGTGTGGATGGTATCGGGGGGTTTGCCGTGTAGTGCGTTCTAAAAATTTGGCGGCTGGGATTAATCCGAACAATTCCTCAGAGCACTCCCCATCGTATATGCGATAAAATACGCAGAGATGCAACATCACTTCGCAGCGCCAGTGAATCGAGCCGATCGGAAAGCACTCGGTCGTCGACGATTCGAGCCGCTCTGCGCTGGATGCGGTCAAGTGGAAGGAGCTGGTACTTGGGAGCCCCAACCCAGAGATGGGAACAGTATTCCATGTGCGGCCGAATCTGCGCCTTGTAGTTGCAGACGGTGTGCCGGCACGAAATACTGTCCCGCTCTGCTGAGCACGCCTAGCTTTTTAGAGGCCAATTTGGCCTTCTCTACCAAGTGACCACGCAATTGCACGTCACTCTATATGTCGACGCCGAGGATTCCGACACTGGTTGAGTCAACAAAGTGAGTGCCTTGAAACTAAGGACATACGACAAAGGGGTACTTTTTAGCGGATAACGCGTAAACTTGTGTCTTCTGAGGGTTAAAATGGAGTAGATTTAGTCGCCCCCAATCCGAGACTTTGTTCAGCAAAGACTCGACTTCAGACACAAGTTTGTCCCGGTACTCGGAGACGTTTTCCCGAGAAATATTGGCACGGCCGGTGTACAGACCATAGCAATGAGTATTACCGGTTTACCACATATCATTGATATGCAGAAGAAACAGTGTTGGTGATAGCACGCAGCTTTGTGGAACGCCGGCATTAATAGGCTGGTAGCTTGCACCGTCTATAACGACCTTGATGCTCCGATCTGAAAGAAAGCTGGTGATCCAATTGCACAATTTCTCGGCAAGCCCGTAGGAAGGGAGCTTCGAAGGAAGCGCTTTGTTCCAAACCCGATCGAAGGCCTTCGCAATCTCCAAACTAACGGCCAATGCCTCCGTCCATCTATGAGTCAGGTGTACCAGAAGGTCACCCGCTGATCGACCACGACGAAAACCGTATTGGCGATCGGTAATCAGCTGGTGATCCTCAAGGTACCTCATTAGCTGGTAGTTTACAATGGACTCCATTGTTTTAGAGAACAAGGGGGTGACGGCGATAGGCCTGTAGTTTGACGGATCTGAGCGGTCGCCTTTTTTAGGAATCGGGTGGACGAAAGCCATCTTCCATGATTTTTGGACTACACCTTACACTTTTTGGGAGTAGGAGTACCGGACAAGACGCGTTAGAATCGGTGTCAACTCTGGAACACACGTCTTCAGCACAATTGGGGGGATTCCGTCAGGTCCACTCGACTTGAGGATATCCGGGGAGAGTAGTGCTTTGCGCACCAAGCGCTGTGTTAAACGCACCTCCGGCATGGAGCACTCACACCGCAGGATGGCCGGCTGCGTACTCCCCCCGTCGTCGAGAGTCGAGTTGGACGCAAAGAAAGAGCCTAACAGATCGGCTTTCTCCTTTGCGTCATGGGCCAGTGAGTCGTCCTCCCTGTGCAGAGATGGAAGAGATGGCTGACAGAAATTCCCCTGGACAGCCTTGGCGAGAGACCAAAATGCCCGTGCATTTTGGTCTCTCGCCTGAGAAACTAGTTTCTCGCCAATTCTACATATGTGCTCTGACTTTGCCTTGGCAATGACTCTTAAAGATCTGGAGGCGGAATTATACTTCTTTTTTAGAGTGCTGGTGTTTACATCCCGGGACGTTGATGCGTCAGCCCAGGCTTGGTAGCACTCCTGCTTATAGCATGATGCTATTTTACAGGAGCGACCAAACAATGGCTTTGATTTGCCTCTGATGGGCACCACAGAGGAAGGTATAAAAAGTTCCATACCCTGAAGTACCACATCAGCGACAGAATCAGCAACAACGTTGGGATCGTCCGGCGAGAACTAAACCCGCCCCCAAGGGTAGAATGCAAAGAATGACAGCATCTTATCCCAATCGGCTAACCTATAGTGTCGAACACGGCGGCAGCCTGCAGAATGCAACCGCGATTTCAGTGTGAGTGGCACCACACTCCGGCCAAAACAATGGTCCGAGGAGCCTAAAGGAGCGTCGACGGAAATCTGATATCCGTCCGAATGAGAGGTCAGCAGAAGGTCCAACAGGGAAGATACATAATCCTCCACATCTGGAATCCGCGTAGGCGAAGTAACCAGTTGTGTGAGACCATATGTCAAGGCAAAATCATGAACAGATCTCCCCGCATGATCGGTTAAACGTGAACCAAGCCATTCCGCGTGGTGGGCATTAAAATCGCCGAGGATCACGATCTCTGCGGAGGGGATCTGCTGTAGCAACGAATCTGTAGTCATTTGGACGTGGTCGATCAGTCGGTCTGTTTCGGCATTACCGCTATGGGACCTATAGAGGCACCCGTAGACGCGCGGATGGTCGTCGCTGTCTACGCGTAGCCAAAGGACGGACAGTTCCGAACCTTCAAGACTGCCGAGGCGTCGATAACAGATGTCCTCTCCGATGTATACACAAACTCCAGCCCGAGGCACTAAGGAGGTTCCAGTTTGTATTCCGGGCAGGAGAGATACGATGCGAAGCATTAGCCGTAGAGGACACCTGCGTCTCGGTCAGAAAGAGCAGAGCCGGCCTCGCCGTCTCGAGATGGTAGTGGACGACGTTTAGGTTAGAGTGAAGTACCCTGATATTGCAGAAATTCATGGATAGTGTAGCAGGGGTCTTGTTGATCAATTTGCCCCGAGTAGTTGTTGTCTTGAGCGGAATTCCCCCCCCCCAGAATACACGGGGCAGCATGAGCACCCACGCTCAGGAGTGGAGTAAATTGTTCGTGGATGCTCAGCGAGGGATTCTTCAGGGGTGCTGGTACCCTCCGGGGTAGTCTAACATTTATTTCTGCTATCATGTTGATGCGGGGTGGAGGGAAATTGGGCCTTCAGTTACCTGCACTCACCCGAAATGCGGAAGCTGAGCTTCCACTTCACGCCGGTATTCTGTGAGGTCGTGGTACCACCCCCGTTTTAAGCCGACCCATACGTGCAACAGCGATGCTGCCTCGTGGCTGTACCACTGTTTGTATAATTAGCGTAACGAATCCACTATTAAATTTATAGAACTTTATCAAGGTGACCTCGTGATATAGGACCCTAGAAATCGGTTTTAACTTTTAAATAAATAATAATAATAAATAAATGTTTGTAACTCTGTAAAAATTAAGTAGACATAAAGTCGTAGCAACAAGACGCACGTCATCCATGTTTAAAAGATCTACGTTGAATTAACACAGACAAATATGTAACGGGTCGTATTCGTTCAAGAATAACTCAGCTAGTTGTTCGTACGATAATCTACACGTGCCATTATGTTGCATTTTTGTCGTTACTCCTCGTCGCCGATCTGAATAGTTTTACGTTTGCTATGGTATAGAAGAAACGGTGTAGTGGCTGTGTCAGAATATCCACTACCCGATATCGTCCCGTGGGTGTCGTGAGAGCAACTTCCTGATAACAACTCAAAATAATAAAAAAACTGTGGTCGCCAATCCGCCCGCCAAAGAGCATGGTAATTATTTCAAGCTCCCGCCTATGAGGCAATTTATAATGATAATAATAATAATAATGTCCTCCAGACCGAATTTCGGCCACGGCGGCCAGGCTCTACGGAGGCTAGCCATCGGCGCAGGACAGGATTATAGTGCCCAAGTGTATGCTCAAGCACAGGTGTACTCTCTATTCCCTTACTCTCATATAATCCGATGGTACGGTAAACCGACACAACCGGAGAGAGATCAGGCGCAGGACCAACGGCTTTACGTGCTTTGCGAGGCACGGGGGTGAGACACCGCCAACTTCCTGACTCCGGGCAGCTACTGAGAATTTCTTGACAGAAAAACTCAATAATTGATTTTTTGGCCCGATAGTAAATTTGATTTTTTGAATAATTGATTTCATTTTTTGAGGCAATATTTATGTGATATTCATCAGTGAAGTTTTATAGGATGTAATGGATGGATTGATTGATATTATAGCATTGGTTTACCGCCCTCTATTGGAAGCCATTTAGTCTTTCAGTCTTTTCCTAGAGTGGCCCCTTACAACGTACGTAGGACGAAATGGGTTGACTTATTTTCTAACGCAGGCCCATTACAGTAGATATGTACATATTGTACGATAGTGTATTGCCATATTTCTACTTCTACCATATGAAATAAATTATCCATTTATTATTCATTATGTTAAGACTACTTGTCACTTGATTTGGTTTTTATACTTAAATTGCTCAAAAGAAAAGATTTTTCTTGGACAATCTTACCAAAAAATTTTACACCTCGGCGCTTTACAAATACAAAACGTAATTGTCGAATCTGTCAAATCTGTTTTTCTTCAATGTGCAGTGCAGAGTTTCCATTTTTAGAATAAGTTGGTATAATTCCTCTTATATTTTACAATTGATGTTAATTTAATGATCCTTCGGACGGTTCTGCAGGTATGCCAGAAGATAGCGCAGAGGAGGAGGGAGAGCCTGGCGGCTCGTCATCAGCAGAGTTGGCCACTGCTATTGGTGACCACCATGCGGACCTGTTCTCCGAGGTGCACCTGCACGAAATTTCGCGCCTGGAGAAGCAACTCGAGCAGGCTCACAACGAGAATGTAAGCTGAATCAAATAAAAACAGCTGATTCGTGTATGTTGATAGTATGCAGGCGAGCCGCCATTTCTAATATCATTATTCATACGAGTAGTACTAGTATAGTTTTTTTTTATAGGATAGGGTGACAAATGAGCACACAGTCCACCTGATGGTAAGTGGTTGCTGTGTCCCATAGACATCTACATCTATCCTCGATTACAAATCAAAATGCAGATGCGTTGTCACCCGTGAGGACTAAGACGGAATGCCTCGTATCCGGTAAAAAGGGTCGCCGGTTCTCTACACTCACCATACAAAACACAGCAGCATTAAGCTACTATTTCACGCTGGTATTCTGTGAGAGCGTGGTCCTTCCCCGGTCGAGCCGATCCATTAGTGCTACGACTATACTTCTAATATAACTGCGGCATGGCTCTACCACGTGCAAAAATATTTGAATGTTTTGAGGAATTTGAATGGTATTGAATGTACAGTAAAGTATGTATTGGTGTGCAGAGCCAGCTGAGCGCGTCGGCGCGCGCGGCGCAGGCGGCGGCGGAGCGCGAGGGCGCGGCGGCGGGCGCGCTGCGCACCGGCCTCATCCGCGCCACCTCGCGCGTCTCTGCGCTCAGCGCGCTGCACAAGGACTGCGCACCCGTACGCATCAATCGCACACATACTGATTACACTCACCTAAATCAAACATTTTTGTCATGTCGCTTCATTGCGCTGATTATTTGCGCTCCATTCTAACCATCCATTACATCCTCCTATACTTCCATACATCTATTACAGCCTACTGCTGAATATACAATATATGTAACGTAATTAACGCGCACCCTCAGACACCCCAATTAGTATATTATGTTATAATCATAATACATACACTGAATTTTTAGTTAAACATTTTTATGCACTGATTATTTATCAAATTAGTTATATTTGTTTTGACTGTACAGATTTAGTATGACTGTAATTTATGTAGTTTCAATTATTTTTAGAGCCGTGGTAGCTCAGTGGTTAACGCTCGATGTAAATATAACAGAATGCGAGTAACCCGGGTTCGATCCCCGCCGGCACCAATGAAATTGTTAATTGCAATTTTAAGTGCTGATTTACCACGTCCTCGGCGGTGAAGGAAAACATCGTGAGGAAACCTGCATGTCTGAGGAATAAGAAAAAAAATATTTCGAAGACATCTGAAGTTCGTCAACACGCATTTGGGCAGCGCGGCGGACACTTCCTTGCCCTAAAACCCTCTCAGAAATGAGGGGAGGCCTGAGCCCAGCAGTGGAACGTATATAGGCTGTAACTTTACTTTACTTTACAATTATTTTTGGGATAAAAAATTACCTATATTAAAAATGATAGGAATCGATTCAGTAAACGATGTCTCATAGTTATGGGGGTTGGCAATTACAGATTTTTATTGTTCTGAGTTGTTGTCAGGAAGGTGCTGCTGTTCATATCCTGGTTTGTTTCCTTCTGTTGGCTTTTACGATACCCACGGATAATATAGGGTAATGGATATTTTTACGTCGCCATTACGCTATGAACGATTTTTGATGTCATACATCTATTGGCGTGCGTCATCAGTAAAACTGACTCGTATTCTGTAACAGCAAACAACATGACGCTGTCTTATGCTGTCATAACCCTCGACGCCACCGCTTTCTTTATTAGTTTTCAATAATTATAGTTCTATCATGATTCATCAACTGATGTTTCACAATTTTCAGATGTCCCTTGACGATCAACTTTTTTTTTAAATTGATTGATATAGTTTTAGTTGGATTGCGGTGTGATATGTGCAGGAGGAGAAGGAGGAGAAATGCGAGGGCGGCGTGGCGGCGCGCGCGGCGCGCTGGCTGACGTGGTGGCGCGTGTCGGGCGGCGAGCTGGCGGCGCTGCGCGACGCGCTGGCCGAGCTGGCGGCGGCCGATCCCGAGGCAGGCAGCTCGCCCGCAGCGCTGCAGCGCCAGGCGCTCGCGCAGCTCAGCGACCGCGTGGCCGAGGCCGAGCTGCGCTGCGCCGCGCTGCAGGCCGACGCGGACCTGCTGCGCACGCTCGCCGGCGGTACGTGTCCGCAGCGCTTGCTATCTTATCCTATACAACCTACCTATATCTCGCCAGATTTAATACGTTTTAAAGTTAAATCTGTGGGTGTGATGGAAATACTGTATATTTATTATGTGCCTGGGTAAAAAATCTTTTTCATATTATAATTATTTTAACTAATGATCCTAATTCGACCGTAATGCAGTACGTTGCGTATTAAACAAGTTGTACGTATTTTATTTTCAATTGCACATTAAAAATCTCATATACAAAATATAAAATATATTCCACACACTATTAAAAAAAATTAAATCACATAATATTAAAAAACAATAGTTTGTTGTCAACATTTTAAAAAATTTTGTCGACAACCTACTCTGTGCAACGGTTTGACCATAAATTATTATATATTTCACATTGACAATATAACTAAACAATGCATGTTTTACTTTATTTGACTTAATTCATATTTTGATTAACACAATATATAAATTGTAATACTACGTTCCTTCTCCATATAAACTATGCCTATGGCTAATATTACACTCCTCCGTGCACGCAATATTACTTACAGAGAAAACAAAATATGCCTTTCACGTTATGAGTTGTTGGTTGCGCAGGAGCGGGGCGCGCGCTGGCGAGCGCGGCGCCGGCGCTGTCGAGCGCGGCGGAGACGCTGGCGCAGCTGTACCACCATGTGTGCGCTGTCAACGGCACGCAGCCCGAGCGCCTGCTGCTCGAGCACGCCGGCCACCACGACGGTACGTTCATCCCGCGCTCTTACAATACTTTTTTAAGAAACCATCCATTGTCTTCGACCGTCTGCACGATTAAGTGTCTTCAAAATTTCCCTAGAGCGTTACTACACATCTTCACTTTGGGATGTGACGCATATTGTAAAGAATTTCGTAAACAAAGTACACGTTAGACTAGGCTGTATGGTCTAAAACTTTTGCCTGTCTTGATTGTGGAATTATAACAACAATATTTATTATAGCCATAGCACATTCTGACGAATTTCGATATTATGTATGAAACAAAGGAGACAATCAATTTTTCTATGGAGAATGGGCCCACTACAAATTTTAAAGATTATCAATGAAATGCATGTCGACTTATTCCTTATAATCCATAGATTACAATAATATTATTAGTTTTACTGCATCTAAACGGAGTCCTGAGAAATTAACAAATAAAATATGAATCTAACAATAACCTAAAAACAAACTGAAAGCGATTTTCTGGTAGTATTCATCGGTATTATAAGTTAAAATAGTGCACACTTGAATAATAGTACATATAAAACTAAGCTGTAGATATATTCAATATTTATAAATATTTTAAAATCGATGTAAAACCTTTCACTAGTTCCGGCAAAACATAGTGCCTGTCTATGCACAAGTGTCGTATGGATTCTAAGTTTGAAATGTATTGATTGATTGTGAGTGTAATTCTAAATACCAAGATGGCTAAGGGATAATGTCTATTTATATTTATGATATTACCAACACACAGTAAGATATGTTTTAAACTGGTTGTATTACAAAGAGAAATTAACAAATAAAATATGAATCTAACAATAACCTAAAAACAAACTGAAAGCGATTTTCTGGTAGTATTCATCGGTATTATAAGTTAAAATAGTGCACACTTGAATAATAGTACAAATAAAACTAAGCTGTAGATATATTCAGCATTTATAAATATTTTAAAATCGATGTAAAACCTTTCACTAGTTCCGGCAAAACATAGTGCCTGTCTATGCACAAATGTATGGATTCTAAGTTTGACATGTATTGATTGATTGTGAGTGTAATTCTAAATACCAAGATGGCTAAGGGATAATGTCTATTTATATTTATGATATTACCAACACACAGTAAGATGTTTTAAACTGGTTGTATTACAAAAAAACAAAATATAATGTAGTTAATTCTATTTATTATTGTAAATCATAATTTATTTAAGTATTCTATTAACAGTAGTAGGTACAGAAACAGAAACCTTTTATTCAATTTAGATTATAAATAATACTTATTGAAAGTCACTTTTTTAATTTACCACTGGTTCGGAAAAAACCTCTGACTTGAAGAGAACCAGCAAAATACCCAGTGGGTCTTTTAAAAAAAAAGGCAGCTTACAATCATGTATGTCATAATTAACAACACATTTTACACCTTACCCACAGGTTATTGTCAGCCATAAATTCCTTTATACTATAATAACCCCTTTTATACAAACTTAATTTAATAAATTTTTTGAACTTTGATGATTGACTGACATATATAGACAGGAGCGGTGTCAAGACATTGTTTTAATATGTTTTGGTTGATTAGTAAGTAGTATACATCATAATAAAATGACTAGGAATTAACATGCCTTATCTATGTTATTACACAATGATAAATAGTGAGGAAGTAAGATGTTTCAAACTGTTTGTGTAAGGATTACAAAAACACAGGCTTAATTTAATAAATGTATTTATTACTAGCGATGTGGCTCAGCTGCAGCACTGGTGATATATGGATCTCGACAACAGTGCCATCTACCGGGTCCAAATGTAAATATAAACCATCTAGGGATCCATCCAAATACACACAAACATTTTCATTGAAATTGGTTGGATGGTTTCTTATGTTTTGTCTATAACGGACATAGGTAGAAACATTTTAGTGTTAGATATATTTCTGAAGGTTTTTTGAAAATAACTTGATGGTAACATGTACATTTATGATATTGCAAGCAATCAGAAAGAATTTTCAATTATAAGAGATATGATATAAGACTGTTGTCTTCAATATCCATACACTTTTTGTCTCTGCAAGCTTTAAGCCTGCACGGCATACAGATTTGTTCTAAGCGATCCACCTGAAAAGAAGTTAATGACAATTGTAAAGGTGTCTTAACTAAATAATAATTCTTATCAATATATTATTTTTTTCTATATTATATAGGAATTAAAAGGACATTTTTAATAATAAGAGATATGAGATAAGACTATGCCTTCAATGTCAATAAACTGTATTTACATATTTCTTTAAGCAATTTCTTATATCTGCCTTTTCATATGTTAAATAATAAAGAAATTATTATAAGCTATACAGCTTTAATCAGCTCCAGCTGATCAAATACAGGAGCAGTAATTACTGATCAACATCTATGAATTCAACCATGTAAAAGTTGTCTCACATTTTATTTTTACTGGTTTCATGTACATAGGAGACAAAGATATTATTGTTATATTAAGTATATCTGATTCTAGATGACAAAATAATATTCCTTTCTGCAGAGTGAACAACACAGCTGTCTAAGCATAATAGATACAACCATTACACTTTTTTATGCAAACTATTATTATTAAACTTATATTTATATTTGCTTCTAGTACAAATAATTACTACATTTTTTACACATAAATATATTATGTAACATTTATATTGCCTATCTACTATGGCTGGTATAAATCCAGGATCTGTGTCTGGCTTAACGAAAAAGCCATTTAGTATTAAGCAACTTGCTGAATACATAAGGTACCTATTTGTACACAAATGTAGTTATATGAATTGCTCTTCAAAACCATCTTTAAGTCCCTCGACCCAAAGATTCTAATTTTCTTTTAACATTATATTTTGTGCATTTATTCTATTTATTATGTATTTAATTTAGATTTTACTAATAAAATAAACTTAATACTTTGTCACTTTTAACAAACTAATAAGGTTCTAACACCTGTTTATTATTTGTATTTATTTTGTTTTAGGTAAAATATACAAACTTAATAGATTTTCACAATCTAGAATAGGTGTAAATTAATAAACTCTTATATTCTATTTGCGCATTTTACCACAAAAACTATAAAGAGAAAAACATACGTACTTGTGTCAATTAATATTTGGCTAACCTTTCTGATAATTGATAATATCCATATTTTCTTAAACATTAGTTTAATAATGCTTGTAAATAAAATCTCCATTTTGTTCTTCCCATAATGATGCGACTCCAACTATGTTTTATTTCACCCGAGTGAATCGAGTGAATTTGTCCAACTCGATAATCGATAGAAAATAAATTTTACCGAGTTACCGAGTTAACTCGGCGCATCGTATAGATTCAGAGGGTGCTATATAGATATTACTTCACTAATTTACTTGTATATATAATAAGTCACAGCAGGTGACATCACAAGTTGCATCCAAATTCAAACTTGCATCTGGCATGTTGTAAACAAACCTGAATTTAGTTTTATTTATGATATTGATTTATAGTTTTAATTTCACATATTACTTATTTAAGGTACACAAGTACAAGGTACAAGGTTAAACAAAAATTGTTTAACTAAAGTAATCGCTACTCTCAACTCTAGTGATAAACTTTTCTGTAAATAGTTGATTTACTCAAAAACTAGTGTACAACTAGAATGACATACATACATACTCGTAAATTAACCCGAGTGGCTCGAGTCACAAAACTCTACTCGAATCGCATCTTTATCTTACGGCCAATGCAGTGTTTGTCTACAATTTAGTGATTAAATCGACTTACTAATTCGAGCAATTTATTGATATATTATGTAATAATTAAATTGATATTAGGTAATATGTATATAATGTTGTATCAATTTATGTTATACATAATATAAATTGATTATATATACTTTGGATAGTCAAATTATTAATAACATTAAGATTTACGTCATAACGTTAGAGTGATATTATTTTATGAAGATATCGATACGCATACCAAAAATAATATATAACTACCTATTAAGTGTAGTAATAATAATTGTGTTGTATGGAAGAACAATTATAAAAATAATTTGTGACATATTGACACAGCTTCGTTCATCTAATTTGAATTGTTTAACTCGAGCTCAAAATCGAGTTACCTGAATTTCAACTCGATTCGATTTTTTCCGAGTTATCACGGAACATCTCTAAGACGATAATTTTTTAAATATTACATTACCTTAGCCAATGATCAGAACACGAATGTCAAAACAACTAATTTTTTTTTCAGATTTCTTGTTTCCGTTTACATTTTCGAAAAATCTATTCCCATTTACTATTATAATTTGGTGTCTTTTTTTGGTGTAAATACCATTAAACGACGTTAATATTTCTAGTGGGCCCAAAAATGATTGTCTCCTTTATTATAATCATCTACCATAATTACATGCATAAGTTATGTATGTAAATGGAGATTTTATGTGTGAGTGACTTCAAATTATACAACACGCTTGAAACTGTATTTAAACAGATGTGACACTTACTGTGACCTTTTACGCATTATTTTTTTAATTGCAGGCGGCGGCTCCGAAGGCCGTAGCGTGGAAGAGGAAGCGCTGGCGCTGGCAGCTGGAGAGCTAGAAGGATTGCGAGCGGCCGGCGGTGTGGCGCGCTCCGCGGACACACTGCTGGATCAGCTGACGCACCTGCGCGCAGCGCTCGACACCGCGCTCGACTCACGACACCGCCACCAGCCCGGTTCGTACTGCACTGTGCTGTTCTGTACTGACACCCTGCTCGACCAACTGACGCACCTGCGCGCTGTGCGCCTGTTTCACACACGATTTTGGCATTCATTTCCAAGATTTGCTCTTACCCGCCGTTATGGACAAGCGGCTTGTTGGGCATGAAATCGATACCTTCCCTCTGATAAAGTTGCTCTCCATCACTATTTTGTGAAATTTGAGGTCATCGTTTTTTGGATAGATTCATATTCAGATAGTGCTGTATATAAATAGTGTTTATATTCTTATTGACCTAATCTATAAAATTTTGTATACTTTTAAAAGTTCCTGACTTAATATTTCATTCATTTAATTCATTTACCACTATATATGAAATGGTGCACAAATTAAATTTAAATTTGTGTTTTCATTTTACGAACTTTTCTAGCTTATTATATCATTTTATTTATTTAAAAAAATCTAGCTACATTAGAAACTTTAAAAAAAATTAAAGATGATTTTCCCATTGTTTTCTCAGAGTATAGAACATGTAAGAAAATAAATTACTTTGGCAACTATAAAAAACAAAAAGATAACTTTAATGCAGAGCTAAAAGCTAGAAATGCTAAGAGACAATTTCGTGACATCCTCATATGTATGGGATCGTTGCAACAGACTCAAAAGAAAAATAATTTTACCGCTCATACTGACGCTGATGACCCTAGGAAATCTGTAAAAGAGATTACCGAGTATTTCGAAAGCATGACAAAACATTGCAGCAAAGATATTGATAATAAGAAGCATGAGTATACTTGGCCTTGTCATGAGGAAGAGAAGATTACCCCATCAGTTATTAAGAACAAAATCGCTTGTCTGAATGCACAAAGAAACGTCAAACTGATATCTAATCAATGTAGCCAACACAATAATAATTTTCACAGTGTATGGAGAGATACAATTTTGCGTGGAAAAGCCACTGTGCATTTCAAAAGAAATGGTGTAATTTACAGCAAAAAGACGAAAGAGAGTGTTTTGAATAACATAAGAGATTCATTAAGGTCTAGTTTTATTTCGTGCATGTTGATGCTTCAATATGTTATGTGAGAGGAATTGATCATGGATCACTTGCATGTAAGAACTGATATTTAAGTAACGAAACATAGTATCTTAGATTAGTTGTAGGTAGTTGTTAAAGTATAGAGTAAGTCAGTAATTCAGTCATTTATATTTAGTTTTTTAGAACAACAATATGAATATTAGTTATTAAAAATGTAGTATGTCAGAGTACTACTATTTTTAATACAGAGGTTGCATGTTTAAATATATTTTTTTGAAATTACTAATAATTATTTTTATTTAGCCTTTTTATTCAGATCAAAAATTACATAAAAGGAGAAGTACATGCAAAGCTTAATACTACTATTATCCTTAATCTAGTCTTTTATTTGAGGTTTTCTTATTTTTTGAAGATCTGTTTGCCAGTCGGCAAAGGCCTCCTCCAACCTTTTCCACTCACGTCTTTCTTGAGCCACCCTGTTCCATGTTACGCCTGCCACTTGCCTGATGTCATCATCCCACTTTTTTTGTGGTCTCCCTCTTTTCCTTTTTCCTTCTCTTGGATACCATTGCGTCACATTTTTGCTCCATTTATCTCTTCCTCTTATCATGTGCCCCGCCCATCGCCACTTCAGTCTTCTAATTTTGTGCGTTATGTCTGTAACCTTTGTTTTGCTTCTTATTACACAGTTTCTCAGTCGGTCCGATTTTTTTCACATTCATCATGCTTCTTTCCATTGCGTGCTGGCATGTTGCAAGTTTGTTAGTCAGGTTTTGTGACAAGGTCCATGTTTGACTGCCGTACATGAGAACTGGCAGTATGCACGTGTTAAAAAGTTTGCTTTTTATATTAATATGCTGATTTTTATCCTTCATAATCTCTTTCAAAGTCCAGTACCTTTTCCAGGCGTTGGTTATTCTTCTTTCAGCTTCTTTGCGCATGGGGTTATCATTCGTTATTAGTTGTCCCAGATAAACATATTCTTCCGCATATTCGATTTGATTACTCCCTAAGTTTATAGCTGTTCTCTCTCCATTGGTCAGCACCCTAGTTTTTTCTGGGTTCAGTTGTAAACCCACCTTCTTGCTTTCCATTGCTAAGTCGTTTATCATTTTTGTTAAATCTTCGGGAGTTTTTGCAAATAGCACAATGTCATCCGCGAATCTCAGATGAGTTAGTGAACGACCATCTACGTTAATACCGAGATTTTCCCAATGAAGACCTCTGAATATTGACCAAGCACCGCCGAGAATAATTTTGGTGACAGAGGGTCTCCTTGTCGTACGCCTTTGCCGATTTTGAAACATTCGCCTTTCTTTTCCAGTTGTATTCTCGCTGTACTCTTGTTGTAAACGTTTTTAATTAAGCGGATATACTTGTGATCAATTCCTTGTTCTTTTAATGACTCCCATATCTTTGCGTGAAATAAAGAATCGAACGCCTTGCTGTAGTCGATGAATCCAATATAGTAGGTCAGTTGGTATTCTTTATACTTCTCCATAACTTGGCGTACTACGTGAATGTGGTCGAGCACTGAGTAGTCTTTACGAAAACCCGCCTGCTCAATGGGTTGGTGTTCGTCTAATGTTTTCTCAATCCGATTTAGTAAGATCTTAGCAAATACTTTATATAAATTGGACATTAGGCTGATGGGGCGATAGTTCCCGATTTCATATTTGTCTCCTTTTTTATATAGAAGAATAATGTTTGATTGTGTCCATTGCTGTGGGATAATTTCGGTGGTTAGTATCTCGTTGAATATGTCAATAAGGACTGGTGCTATAACTTCTTTACTTTCTTTTAAGATTTCATTGTTTATGCCATCTGGTCCTGGTGCCTTGTCTTTCTTTTGGCTATCTATAGCATTTATTACTTCACTCATAAGGATGTTAGGGACGTTTGAGGTTTCCTCTAAGTCGTCTTCGTCTTGAGCGATGTTGTGTTCGTATATCTTTCTGTAATAAGATGTGGCAATTTGTAAGATGTTTTTTCTGTGGTGGCTGTATTCTCCGCTGAGGTTTTTAATTTTTGCGATCCAGTCTTTTGAGTTTGTTAATTCTTTGTTAGCTTTTTTAACACCTCCTGTTTTGATTACATGTTTTTCGATAATTTCCATTCTTCTTCTTTTGCTGTCTTTTCTTATGCTTTCATTGATGTCTTTACTGATTTTCGCTATGTGCTTTCTTCTGTCGTTTATATCTTTTGTGTTGATTAGCTGGTTTCTTTGTTCTAGCAATTTTATAGTACTAGTTGATAACACGTTCCTGGGATCAGGTTTTATCTTATTAATATGTTGTAGTTGAACTTTAATAGTAGTCTCTATCCAGTTATATTTTTCCTGAGTTCCTGCTATCTTTGCGTACTCTTCTAGGTCTGTAAATTTGTCCTTTAGGGTGAGTACTAGTTGCTCGTTTTGTTGCTTGCTGAGCTTGATAGTTGGTAGTTCCTGCCTCGGTCTAGAGTTTTTCGGTTGTACTGATTTTATTTCAGCTCGAATTAGTCTGTGGTTGGTATTGAAGTTGAGCTTGTTGATGACATCAAAATTTGTAAAGCAGTTGTTTCTGTTAGTAATCATGTAATCAATTTGGTTCTTTGCTTTCCCATCTGGTGAAACCCATGTCCACATCTTCTTTTTTGTTTTTCTTGTATACTGAGTTTAAAATAGTTAGGTTATTTTCTAGTGTGAAGTTTATAAGTTTTTCTCCATTTCTGCTCCTTCCTTTATTTCTGTAGATGAATGGTCCTAGTGTTGTTTCTTCACCCGGGCGCCTAGTTCCAATTTGGCCGTTGAAGTCACCCATTATGATTAAGTTTTTGTGGGCCTGTTCTTGGATAGTGTTATTTAGATCGAGGTAGAATTTATCTATGGTTTCTAAGTCAGATTGTTCTGTTGGTGAATATATTTGTAAAATAGACCAAGGATCTTTATATCCCGGTAGTTTCAGGTTCATCATTGCTATGCGTTCCGAAATTCCGATAAATCCTTCAATAGATTTTTCAAGATATTTTTTGACGATGAAACCAACGCCATGAAGGCCTGGCGTCGTTCCTATATGATACATTAAGAAGTCTGGTTCCGAGGTAATTTTTTCTCCCATTCGTCTTACTTCACTGAGGCCGAGGATATCCCATTTAATTTGTTTTAACGCATTATTTAATTCTATAAGATTTTCTTCATTTTTCAGTGTGCGCACGTTGAGGGCTGCGACGTAAATGTTTGTTTCTTTGTAGTTGCTTCTCTGTGTTGTTGAAGGGTTATGGTCTTTGTCCCCCACGAGGACCAGTCGGCTTGGGGGGAAGATGTGTTATTTCTGTTTGTTTGCTTTCATAGTTTGTTTGGGTTTTCCGTTTCTCGTTTAATTGCTAGTGTTTATTGGGTATAGGTTTGTTTGTCAGAGAGTTTGATCTAGCATCGAAGGCATGCATCCTGTTATTTTTAGCAAAGTTTAGGGTAAGTTGTTTTTTAGGTTGAGTTTTGGATGGTGACGGTGAGGTAGTTGGCTCCCTTTTCCTTTTTTCTGCGTTGAGTTCTTTGACTACTAGTTTGTCGTAATTCAAAAAAGCTATATTTCCTTTCTCTCTCTCTTCTTTTAACCGTGGTAGCAGTGCTTTCCTTTTCTCCAAGACTTCCTTTGAGTAATCCTCTGATATATAAATGTTCTTTAGATTTTTCCTGTTCTTCATTATTTCATCTTTTTTCCATGCATTTATAAGAGAGCAAAGCACCGGTCTTGGTTTATTCTGGACTTTATTTTTTCCCAGTCTGTATAAATTGTTTATTTCAAATTGCTCCAAATTTATATTTAGGTCTTCCTTCAGGATCCCCTTGACACTTTCAAATAGCTCCGAAATCGAGTTTTCTCCCTCTTCTAGTCCGAAGATAATAATGTTGTTACCTTTCTTATCTCGTTTCAAAGATTCTACCTCTTTCTCTAGATCGCTAACTTTTTGTTTTAATTTTTCATTCTCTTCAATAATAGGGTTAAGTTTTTCATCCATCCTATCCATTAAGTTTTTTGTAAGTGATTCGTTTAGCTCCGCTATTTGTTTCTGCATTTCTGATTTCATGTTGTTAAATAATAATTGAAATTGTTCCTCCATATTTTTAGTATAAGTAGCGTAGAACGGAACTTACTATAAATCGTAGTTATTATTTTTCATGTACTTGCAACACTGATGGTCACCCTATCGTTCGCTCGCAGGTATACCAACTTAATGACCCGACGTGGGGTTAATTATCATTCATTCATTCATTGGCGATAATCATAGATAAATAAAGCAAGCTAGCGGTAATGCCAACTTAGTAAATGAACCTTAGGTTCGCTCCAACGTCAGTTTCTCTATCTAGTCTGTGGTTCGCTCTTTGAAGGTAATGTCAACTTGACAGGGTGAAGTATTTTGACAGAATGAATTTCGAATTATGTGAAATGTTCTAACCTTAAATGTTATTTTGGATTTTATTCTGCACTATACTGGATATATCTTGCTCGTAGCCCAGAGTTTTCTTGCTTCTGTGTCACCGGAGTGCCACTTTGTGATTTATAGTAGTTTTGACGGCTAAGGCGGCTTCGAACTATTTATTTTAAATTATTTGTTACGGATAGAATCACAGTGATGTTAATGTTACAGTGACCGGAAACGGAACTAATAATTATTAAGAGAAATTAAAAAAAATTACAATTGATTTTTCATGTAATTTTACAATCAAAAATTGTTTTTTTTTTTAAATGTAAATTCAAACGCCAGTACGTCATTATACCTCACGGTGGAATGATGAAACACTCATGTTTAACGTAGTCAAAATTAAAAAAGATTTAAAAAAGATTAAAAAAGATTGAGTAAATACAAAAGTATAGCATGATTGCGATTGGTTCACAGTCTCAACGGATAATAATGACGTCGCGACCAACCACGAGTGATTTCTTTTTCATTTAAAAATTTAACTATTTTGTAATAATAATTACTAAAATATGAAATTCTCAATAAAAAAATATTTAAATATACTTTAAATGAATTATTCTTTCATTTTTATATAAATATGTGGCAAAAAAATTTAAGCAACTTCTCTATTAAATAATATCGATTTACCGAGTGTTTACTGATCTGAAGAAGTAAAAATTCTTAGTATAGTACACCTAAACCTACATGTTTACCGATATTGCAGTTTAGAATTTACTTAATGGTAAGAGCAGGTGTGTATAACTGTAGCCAACTGAAAAAGACCCACAAAAGTAGATTGTTACCCTTGATGGTTTAAAATTTAAATGGACAATCCATTGTATTGGTCCTTCAAACTAAGACACAACAATGAGAGCCCTTGTATAGTAGTGTTACATAATTTTAACTATTTAAAATAAAATATATAATAAAATGTTTGCTTAATGGGTCAAAGAAACCATGAGTGACGCGTAAGAATACTTAGTGTTCATAAGACCGGTGAGCCGCGCTTGCTTCTTTAGCTGCAGTTCGATGTCTTGGCCTACCCATTTTACCCTCTTCAATTAATCAGACATATGTAATATCTTCTAAGGTTCTAAAATTTTTAAATCTCTAACGTCTAACATGGTCATCCTATACGCCAATGGCGCCCAATGTGAGACTATTATTCACGCGCTTAAGCCTGAATACGACGCGATTGACCTTGCTCGTTTTGCAGCAAACCACGCGCTTTTATCGAACATCACGTGTGTTACCCGTACGCTTTGTTTGTATAGACATGTATAATATAATCAAAGCCCGTACGACTGAGCTAGCTTAGTATGTAGAGTAATGAATAATACAGAGAGCATTGCTTACTTATTAATTAAATCTTTCTTATTTATAATATTAGTTCCTATAGAATATAAATTCTGTACTTTATTCGTTATAAAATATTGTTCAAAAATTTTGAATTTTTGTTATTTCATTTATATATTTGAATTTATATCGATTTTTTTCTTAATTGGCGCATCGTACGTAAAGAACTTCATATAACTATCTGAAAATGTTTGTTCTTGTGAGTCTTACAAGATGCCGTGATGCAAATTGCATAAATAATAAAGAAAAAAACTAAAAAGTCGAAGTGAATGCCCCATAGTGGGGTAGGTACTGTGTATGTAAATTCTCACAAGACTACTCCGACTGGTCAATCACTTCACATCCGAAGTATTTCGGTTTTTCTTAATTATGTACTTATCCCATGCTTTCGGACAATACATTGACTATGACATTATTTGCGTTCTCTGTGCTTGCACTACTCTGTACATTATTTTCTGACTCGGTCGTGATATTTACATTTTTAGTGTTTCTCACTTGCCCAGAAAAGTATAAATGATCGGTTTGGCTAAGGTAAATGAGTAAAAATGCAGCCTATTAGGCAGCCTCAAACAAAAAATTACCTTACAAAAAATATAAGTAACCTCAAAATACAACATTCGAGCAGCGTTCATGCGATAAACTCTCTTTGTTTTACCACTTAGGTAACATTTATTTCTTTTCCTACCCATATTCACATTTATAGTCACTTAAACGCGTATAAAACACTAAATTAACGATTTTCGTTACAGTTTTGTCACCTTACGCCACACGTCGAAGCGCCTGGTAATTTATTACGGCAAACTTATATCTGGCAATATACGATATTATTATTAGGTGTTTTTAATTAAAACGAATTATGTTAATAAATAATATTTTGTATCGAAAATAAAGACGGCAGGCACCTTCGGAATTACAATACAAACATTTTTACCCGATGGAATTTTTTCCTAAATTAAAATTCACATAGTTTTGGAAGAACAATAATTTTTAAATATCATTTCTTAATTTTTTTATTTGTTAGTATATTCATTTATTTTAAAATTTTAAAACAGCGGGCACCTTGTGAAGGAACCGAACAAACCTACAAAAAATGTTTTAACGCTTAGAATTACTTCAGGTCAAAGTTCTAGTGAAGAGAAATACATTAATTTTCGCCAGTTCTTTTCGTATTCGGTATTAAAGTTTGCCTATTTGTAGTTTTGCGGGAGAATATTAATTATGTATATTGTGTAAATATGCAATATTTTAATTTGAAATGTGATTCAAAGAAAAACATTCGCAAACAATATAAATATGATATATTACTGCTATTCGTGTATAAAATCAGTTTCCACCAACTATTAACCAATTAAATGGTTTAAAACAAAATTAAAGAAATTGTTAATTGATAATGTTTTATACAATCTAAATGAGTTTTTTAATATAATTAATGTTAGTAAGTAGTAAATTCTAAATTTATTTTCGTTCTTGTTGCATATCCGACATGGGTAGACTGTCGAGCCTAAAACTATATGTTTTTGTACTAAGATCATATTGTACACAGTTATGCAATAAATGTATCTTTATCTTTAATTAAGAGAGTAAACCTACCCACATGCACTATGAAGCAAAAAAGTTCCGTTGTCCTAATTTGTAAAGATTTGAATAGTACAAAGTTTTTAAGTTGATTTTTTTACAGTAATGGAAACGGAAGAACGCGGCGCGGAGCTCGCCGATTTACAAGAGCAAGTGATCAAGCTGAAGTCTCTGCTGTCCACGAAGCGCGAACAGATCGCCACCTTGCGTACCGTGCTCAAGTCCAACAAGAACACGGCCGAGGTGGCCCTCGCCAACCTCAAGTCTAAGTACGAGACCGAGAAGATCATCGTCACGGAAACCATGCTGAAGTTGAGGAACGAACTGCGCCTGCTCAAGGAGGACGCCGCTACTTTCTCAAGTAAGTAACATTGTTGTTGTTCACATAAACATAAACACTCACGCCTGTCACCCAGAGGGGTAGGCAGAGACAACGGACTTCCATTTGGCACGATCCTGACATATATCTTTCGCCTCCTTTACATCCATATATCTACGCATATATGCTCGTCGGTTAAGGGTACTTGTTTTGTTGTTTTTCCTTGGATTATATGTACAGTAGAAGTATCACCAATAAAATTTGCAACCACTATTCAACTGCATTACGGTCGTACTTTACTATTCTACTTTTTCCGGCGAGATTTATTTACGTGGTAGAGCCATGCTGCAATATATTAGTAGATGGAAGAAGAAAGTGAAATAATTTTGTTCGTGGCTTTTGGAAAGGGTGACAACGCATCTGCATTTTGATGTAAGAGGATAGATGTAGTTATGGGGTTAGGGTTGGTTTGTACCTATCTAAAAAAAGAGACCTAAAAGTTGCAACATTAGTAATACATGCACACCATGGCAAAAAAATTGGAGTTTGATTGTGCATCTCTGATAGGAATCGAGGTTGACTTCATTATATCTTTTAATTTTTTTTATTGTAATATTAGTCACTGAGACAAAAATTTAAGGAAATTAATGTATTAACTCTGGCCTCTCAATACATTTATGAAAATGTAATGTACGTACCCAAGAATAAACGTGGTTTTGCAAAAATAAGTGATATTCATTCTGTAAATACTAGAAACAGACACAAGCTAGTAGTACCAGTAACTCGACTCCACCGAGTCAGTAATTCATTGTTGGGGCGATGTATACGCTTTTACAACAAAATCCCAGAAAATCTACACAAAATTTGTCATACGCAAAGTTCAAAAAAGTTATTAAACTGAGTTTGTATAAAAAGGGTTATTATAATATTAAGGAATTTATGGATGATAATAACCCCTGGGAAGGGTGATCGCTACCAAGCTATTTCTATTTGTCTTGTGTTGTTAATTGTAAACACGATTGCAAGCTATTATTTGAAAAAAAAAATAGTCCCGCTGGTTTTCTTGCTGGTTCTTCCCAGGACAGAGGTTTCTTTTTTTGCGAACCAGTGGTAAATGAAAAAATTGACTTTCAATGAGTATTGTTTATAATCTACATTGAATAAAAAAGTTTCTGTTTATGTTATATATATTAGTAAATATAACAGTATCGATTATAAGCCTATGGATTTTACATTAGTATCTTATTATCGGTTACAAAGTGTTATCATAATGAGAAAACATATTGCAGTTGCGGAGTGATACCCACCGGCAAATGATTCTCACCAGAATTACACGATAGCACTGCTGTAGATAAACACAAGAAGGAATCAATGTGACAATCTCCATTTGTTAGCCTCAAGTGTCGCTTTAACTAGCTTGTACAGAACTAATGCAAACTACGTTATTTAAATTAAGTTATTATATACAAGGTTATTTTGCATTTACTGGCAAATTTGCAGAGAAAGTTCAGAATAAGTGATATAGCTAATGGTGAAAAAAAATTATAAAAATATTTCAAACATTTTGTCCTTTTTATCTTTCAAATTCAAAATGCGTGATAATGCATTATTTTAACTGATTTTATTGTGCACGCCCACATTCGTAAGGGTCGATCGGTAGGCAAAAAATTTTTACCCATAAATCACATCCACTTTGAATTTGGGATTATTGAAAATAAAAGTAAAAGTATTGACTCGTGTTTTCAAAAACTGTAACGGTGTATCATTATTTATATATTCGAACTTAAGTATAAAATATGGCTACTCTTTAAACAGAACCCTATAGTTACAATAGATTCTTCCATTGTTTTGTTTAAAAGTCTACCAAAGTGTAATATGAAATAAGGATTCTCACATTTCCCAACATATTATATGTACTGTTGGGAGGAGAATAGTCTATTTGTACATATTTTTGTCGCTTATTGTTATAAGGTTTTCCTCAGGAAGGTGTTGAAGCGGTAACGTGTTTTGTTTTAATTGAAAAGTGCTGAATATTAATGGATTGATAGAGTTGTAAATAGTGAGGAAATGTTGCGTTGCAGGTCTGCGCGCGATGTTCGCGGCGCGCTGCGAGGAGTACGTGACGCAGGTGGACGAGCTGACGCAGGCGCTGGCCGGCGCCGAGGACGAGAAGAAGACGCTCAACCAGCTGCTGCGCCTCGCCGTGCAGCAGAAGCTCACGCTCACGCAGCGCCTCGAGGAGCTCGAGGTGCGCCCTGCCTTTGATACTGGCCACTTGGTGGCATGTCATCCAAAATTTATTCAACGCCAGTTGCGTTCGATTACCACCAGTTGTGCGGTTATGGCAATGAATTAATTATTTTCTGTTTTTGTTCATTGCACCCACTCGTGTCCTGGGTTTGAGGATATATATATATATATATATATATATATATATTTCTTTATCTTTTTGCAGTCTTCGTTATTTGTTTTATGGGAGGGGGGGGGGGGCAAACGAGCATACAGCTCACCTGATGGTAAGTGATTACCGCCGCCCATGAACAACTGCAACACCAGGGGGAATTGCAGATGCGTTGCCGGCCTTTTTGAAAGGAATGGGCTCTTTTCTTGAAGGTCCCTAAGTCTTATCGGTCCGGAAAAAAACTTTCTTAAATCGCACAGGAGCGTACCGCTAGTCATCCAGATGGTATGGATGGAATCGCGACTTTTGTCGCGATGTGCGATGGTGAAATTGTGCAGCTGGAATTAGTCCGAACAATTCCTCAGAGCACTCCCCGTGGTAGATGCGATAAAACACGCATAGAGATGCAACATCTCTTCGCAGTGCCAGTGAGTCAAGCCAATCGGAAAGAACTCGATCGTTGACGGTTCGAACAGCTCTGCACTGGATGCGCTCAAATGGAAGGAGCTAGCACTGGGGAGCCCCGGCCCAGAGATGGAAACAGTATTAAATGTGCGGCCAAACCTGCGCCTTGTAAAGTGGCAAGCAATGTGCCGGCATGAAATACTGTCCCGCTCTGCTGAGCACGCCAAGCTTCTTAGAGGCCAATTTGGCCTTCTCTTCCAAGTGACCACGAAACTGCACGTCACTCGATATGTCAACGCCGAGGATTACGATACTGGCTGAGGCAACAAGGGGAGTGCTTGAAACAGTGTTTTCAAATGAAAATATTCATCATGTACACGTTTTCTGTTCAACAAGAAAAATTATTATTTGAATGTGTTGCTTTTAAAACTTAGTATCCGAGTTTATTTGATTATTTTAACAATATTAATTAATAATAATAACAATTGTTCGTGGAAGCTGTTAAATCTCTAGGCGCTGTTATGTTTGTTGACACGTCATCAAAGTACTGAGAACACCTTGCCACGAAAGCGCCAGTGTTCACAGTACAAAAATGGCGGCGATTTATGACGTCATGTATTTCCCTAGGGAAGAGCATAAAATTTTTCGCCAGTGAGAGCACTGAGCAGTGCTCACAGTGTATATCGGAACACGACCTAAAATTCAAAATTGAAACATTTATGAGCGCCCAGGAGCGCAAAATTTTCAGTGTGCCGTATGAATGGTGTGTTTGTGCGCAGGTGGACCGGGAGATGCGCACGCGGCGCGTGCCGAAGCCGGCGAGCGCGCCGCGCGCTCGGCCGCGCGACTTCTAGCGGCTCGTGCTGGCGCTGAAGGCCGCTGCCGCAGCGCTGCGCGCCCTGCTGCGCCACGGCACGCGCGCGCCCTAGCGCCTCACCCGCCTCGCCGCGCCTCACCCGGCTGCATCGCACCTCACCCGCCTCCCCGCACCTCCCCGCGCCTCAGCGCGCCGGTAACAAATTTACAGTGGCGCAGCTAACTCCCCGCAGCGCCGCGCCGTGCCGCCGCCGTCACTTCGTTTGAAAATAATTTAACGTGTCTTGGTCCGTCAACCTCAATTACACAATTAACGGACACCATGTGTAACTTAATATGAAACTAATGGAAATATATAAACATCGTGTCCTTGCCATTTATTCGTAGTGGATCTATCTATCTATGACCGATATCGGCAAAACGAACCAAACTATCAGTAGCTGTGGATCAAGCGGATTCTTTGAATAATTTTTATCACATTGCGACTAAACTTAATCTCAAAAATAACAAAATAGAATTTCACATAATCATGTATGATATTACGCCATTATTTACAATTAAAACGAGACGTTGTGACGAGTTGATTGCGATTGGTATGCGGTTACGTACGGTGCGGTAAACTGTGTGGGTTAATTATATAAGTGCGCGCTCCGTCGAAAACTTCCCTGCGATTTGCGATCGTCGTCGCCAGAGCGTACGACTGTGGACTTTTTATAACTGTGGTTCTTAGGAGACTAAATTATTTATACGTTTTATAAAATTTAATATTAATGTAATTAATTGTACCAATAATGTAAGCGGGGGTCCGTTGGACTGGACGCGGTGAGATCGGTGTAGGCTGGCGTCGCGACCGTCCCGAAGTCGTGAACCGTCAAACTGTGCGGCGACGCGCGTTCACACCGAACTACCTTTTTTCTATATGGTTCTACATTCGATTGCAAAATCTTTCCCTTTCTCTCAGTCACCAAAATTTTAATCTTCGTGCAACTTGATACAGTAGTAGTACTATTTCATTTGAAATCCTCTGTATTTCAATAATTTTGTCATATTTGCTCAACATGCGTTAATGCCATATAATTAGTACGTCGCCGATGACAATATCAGTCTTTATTCCATTAAGTCTGAAAGCGATCGTAAGGCAATAATATGAAACTCTATTTTATGACGTACGTGCCGCAACGTGACTGTCGCGTGCCTCACATTTCTCGGCGCAGGCACAATATCGACGCAACTGTAGAAATGAATGGTTGGACAATCTCGCAGATGTCTGCGTCGGGCCAGTGTCGATTAGCAGTGAGAACTTTAATCTCTTTGGTATCTGTGCCAGATTGACGAATGTAGAACCGTAACTACAATGCTTTAGGCATGGAAAATAATTAAAGTTAAACTTTACGTCGACGGAGCCCCGCCCTAAACTAGTTGGTGTTATATGAAAGTTGACTGATTTTAACGTGAGAGCGGAGGTGACATGGGGGAGGGTGGGGGGGGGGGGTCTCACCGCCGTGTTGTTGTTGTTGTGGCGGCCACGCCGCTGAGTTGTGTTGTTCACGTGTGGCTTCTGTCGTCCGATATCCTTTAGCAGTTCTTGCCTTACTCTCCGCGTGGGTTATATCTCGTAATCCCTATTATACATTATCTCCATGATTAATATTTTGATATTAAATTTCCCTGTACCTATATCCACTGCACGACACGAAATTAACATTTAATCTGTATTTTTGTAATGGGATTGGTGTATTTTATTATGCAAACGCATTTAGCATACTTTGTGCAGTTTATATTTGCGATCCTGCGAACTAACAAGAATTTTTATTATAAAATTATGACGATGGTTAAAGCTGAAGAACGAAACCGTGCAACATTATTTTTTAATTATATACATATTTAATAAGCGAATCAATTTTCGCATAGATGTACATATTATGAAATCCTTTACTTGATACGAATGTTTAGTACGTCCAAGAAAAAAAAATCTAAAAAAAAAAACATATTCGTCGTTGTCCATCCATTACGTGCGCAAAAAGACTATGTAATCTGTTCTATAGTTGATATTTTCTAGTTTGTTGTGTTGTTGTGGCCCTCTGCCGAATACTTTCGTCCATCTTGTTCTAGTTATATTCGTAGTGTTTCCGTGTTTTTGTTCTGTTAACGTTAAGTTGAGACTGTTGCGGCCGCGGAGTCAGATTTGTTTATAGACGCAATTGTATGCACATTAAGCGAAATACCGTGAGAGATGTCATGGAATGCATTAGTTGTGTGGTGAATAATGTCTCTGAATTTGTATTGTATTCTCGATAATAGTTTGCATACAAATGCTACCGGCTCGGTCGCAAACAGACTCGACGCACTTTGCCGTCCTGTGGCCTCGCCACGCGCGTCCACTTCTTGTCCACGAGCCGGTCGAACCTGAACAGACGTACACACCGACCGCTCTGTCTGTACACAACGAGAATAATCATATTATTGTAACAGGAAACGCGTTTTGTTGCTCAAAGGTTTGCTCACCTGAGGTTCGATCGGCGTTCTATTGATAAGACAAAATTTACAAGAGATTATTAAAGTGTTACGAGGTATTATTATTATTTACATTATTGATTGTGATGTTTGCAGCTTCCCGTGATAAGATTGCGTGAAACCGGTGGATGACGTAGTCGTTTATCTTTTAGAGCGTCTCTCTGGACATAGGCTAGTTCGACCGTTCCATGTAGTACGGGCACTCGCCCTTCGTAGGTATTTTTACTGGTTTAGGTGTAGACCTAGTATTATATTAACCTTCAAGTAAACTTCTTAGGTATCTATCTAAAACGCTCCGTTGAAGCGTGTAGTGAAATTATTTGCAATATGATTCATTCGATAGCGTAATTTGTTTGCATAGCTAAAAGCGGCGGGCCGGCCCGCGAGGACCATAGCCTTGCATTTATTGTTTGTAGATTGTATTGGCTAGCTTTACTCGTAGATCCATTCTTCGTGTACTTAAACGATGAACTTACCAATTGATTAGTATTAGTGCGTATAATTTTTCTTTCTGAATTTAATTTTATATCTCTTTCTTAGCTTAGCAGCAGACATCAATTGTGTATGGTTTATATCTAGTCACTGGTATATCCGCGCGTCTAGTGCGCTTCGCAATTAATACACAATAACCGCACTAGAGACGCCTATTGAAACATGAATTTAAACTCACGGGTTGTAAAGAAACTTCCTTTGCCCGTCTGTGTCTTTCCATTTGTAACATCTAATTTTGTGACGCAGTTATATTGAACTTGTTTGTCTACAATGTACTTTATGTAATGCAATATTTTGACTGTTTATTTATTTTCAGATGTATTGTTAGATATTTGTTAAGGTGCAACTGACTATATGATAAATGCGGAGAGGCGTGGCGTCTCCGCATTTTTCTATATTATAATTTTTCAGTATTTTTAGATTTGGGCGAGTTCGCTCGATGTCTGCTGCCACTTGCCGGTGGTGGTAATAAGAGCGATTAACCAAATATTTTCTTTATATCGTTTATATATAACACTTTAGATCACTTATTTTGCTTAGGCATAGATATTATTTCATATTATAGAGAGGAATTATGTCTTTTTATTATTTAAATGTTGGAAAGTATGTAATTGCCCGCTATTTCATTGTAACACGTGATCAAAGCGCTCGACAGCTCGAAGCATGATTGTTCCCATTTGTATTTTATGGATTCATTTGTTCTGTAGCTGAGTAATACGTCGATCGCCTTCACTGTGGACACTCATTGCACAGTTTGATGGTTCACTCTGCAATGATACAGTATGCTCCTAGTGTCAGTTACAAGATGGCCACTTATATAAATTATTGTTTTGCACTTTTAAAAGTCGAGTTCCATCAGATTACATGTCTTTGCATAATTGAATCTCAACTTAAATGTAACGCATGAGCTTTCAAGAGTATAAATTTAAGTCGCCTACATACATAATATTTAAATTATTCGATATTCAACGACAGATGGAATGAACCAGCCCGGGGAACATATCATGGCTGATAAAAAGCGGACTTATTTTCAATAAATTAGGGCACGCCGTGTTGTAATGACTGATTTGAATCATGTAACAGAAAAATAAATGATATATTTAATTGCTGTGTTTTATTTTACGTGAAAATAAATAATTCATGTCCCCAAACCTATTTTAGTTAATATTAATCCTTGTGGTTATAAAATTAAATACTAAACATTTTAAGGGACAATGTAAATATGTACCTACATGTAATAATTGAAATGCATGTATGCATGTGTATGTAGTTATGTTTTGTAAATTTACCACAATTACTTAACAGATTATGATTGTAGCTTTACACTCCATAATCTAAATATTTCTGTATTTATTTCTATAGAATAATTATTATCTATTAACAAATACTGATCGTAATCTAATCCACGAAAATTAATATTTGTTTGTTCGTATTTTATGCGCTTCCAAACCGTTTATCAGATTGCGGTAAAATTTTGTCCACATATTGCTTGCACTTCCGCGAAGGTTCTATGCATAGTTGGTCCCGGTAGGTGGCGCTGTTGCAGAATCCAGATATCACTCGTACGAAGCCGTAGCAAGTCGCTAGTTGATTATCAAACTGTCTTGACTTTTTGTGCGTACAATAAAGGTTACAAACGAGCATACAGTACACCTGGTAAGTGAATGTTTTGGCCTATAGACTCTTGACATCTATCCTCAATTAGGAATCAAAATGCGGATGCGTTGTCACCCAGAGGACCAAGATAATAACTGATCTTGTGGGATGTGATCGATGTATGTACTCCGTGAAGTGGTTCGATATTACTCGCAACCACCTAACCACAAAACCTACACTAAGTATTCTTACTAATGAAGGATAGGAATAAGAATTAACTGACTCGAATGAAGTAATGTTATTTCTATGTAACAAACAACTTTTACTACAAACAATTTTACAAGGTGAAATTAACTACGAGTACAATGTAAGTTAATTGAGATAAGTAGCGCGCGCGCGTCCTGTTGCTATGCCGGTTGCAGGCGGAATGAACGTC